AATAATGAATTTGAAAATATAAAAATATTAATTAAAAAAATAAATAAATAGATTATTAAGAATAAGTAAATAAAAACAGTATAAATAAATAAATTAAAAATAAAATAATAAATAAACAAATACTGAAAAAATAAATAAATTAAAAATAAATAAATAAACAAATAATAATAATATACTGAATAAATAAATAAATAAATTAAAAATATATAAATATTTATTAAATAAGTAACAAATATGAAATAATAAATAATAAACAAAAAAATAACAAATAATCAAGTTATTTATTAACAATAAAAAAATAAATAAATAAATAATTGTTGTAATTAATAATAAATAAATAAATTAATATTATTAATTAAAAATAAATAAATAAATAAAAAACAAACATAAAATAATAAAAAATAAACAATAAATAATAACAAAAAAATGTAAGATAATAAATAAACAAATTATTAATTAACAATAAATAAAGAAATAAATAAATAATTAGTTAATAACAAATAAATAAAAAAAAATAATTAATTAATAATAAAAGAATAAATTAATGAATAAATAATAAAAAACAAATATAAAAGACTAAATAATAAACAATAAATAATGAATAATAAATGCGGCGGTAGCCGAGTTGTTAGCATTGCGTACTGACATTTCTGGTGCTATCAACATCCAAAAGTTATAACTAATTAATTTAAAAAAAATCTATGAAATTTTTTAATTGCGGTCGACCCTAGGTAGAGAATTTTCAACTCCTCCGAGTGTATTTCGGACATGAAATAAATGCTCCTCTTAAAAACCATCAACCATTCGGAGGCAGCTTAGTATAAACTGTAGGTCCCTCCATTTGTTGGAAAAGCACCAAGACGCAAAACCACAAATAGGAGAAGGAGCCTCGGCCGAAAAATCGCTACAGCGGTTACAAAGCGCCAATTATATATATAAGAAATAAATAAACAAATAATTAATTAATGACAAATTATTAAAAAAATAAGTAAACGAAAAATAAATAAATAAATTAAAAGTAAATAAATTAATTAAAAAATAAAAAAAACTAGTAAATAACAAGCAAATAAAATAAATAAATAAATAGTAAATAAATGAAGAAATAAATAAATAAGTAATAAATAAAATAATAAATAAATAAATAATAAATAACTGCGTAACTGCAAAAGAAGTTGGACGTCGAATTTATGTAAGGGGAAGGTTCGTGAAAGGATTATAACCAAATGGATAGGCTTAGTATTGAGCAGTCATATATAATATTACATGCTAGATATACGAGTACATACCCCATGATCCGAATTATCTGCGAACTACTGCTGAATCATAACAAAGTTGAAGCAGTGAAGTGGTGACTGGTGATGAAAAGTGGTTCACTTGCAGCAAAAGCTAGGAATCATTTCCTATGCGCTTCTCTTCTACTGCCAAAAAACTCTTGATTCGGGCCTATAATATCAGCAAATGAACCGTCAGAAGGAAGCTACAGAACAGAAGCGCTCAGCTTTAGCCTCCAGGAAGGAAATTGTGTTTCATTAGAACAACGCCAGACCAAAAACATCGATAGTGACTCGCTAGATGATCAGAGAGATTGGTTGGTATATTCTTATATATCCACCTTGTAGTCCGAATCTCCTACAGTGATTACCATGTATATAGACAGGAATACAAATGATTGGACATTTTAAAATTTCCTGCCGAGTAGGTGATTGTAGTTAAAAGAATTCATAATTTTGTTCAAATTACTTTTCTACAATTTGGGATTTTTATTTGGTCAGCGTTGGAGCACCCGACCTTCAGTACGATAATTCATATTTCTAACCACTCGGATATTGCGGTCATCGACCCTTTGTGGAAACAAAATTACGTCAGCCAATCGAGATCTTATCGCTCCCGTTTAACTCAAAGCTGTGCAGTTGTTTAAAATTTCAAATATTTTATTAAATTCTATTATAATTGTGTACAAAATATAATATGAAATATTTATTCAAACGCTAGCGGCAGTTCAAATCGGAAATAACTCGCTGCACTCAGCTGACTGATTGACTTAATGGAAATATAGGGCGTTTGTTTATATAAACTAATGTCTGTAGATTATAAAAATATATATGTAAATACGTATACTTTTGCAACTAACCGAGCTTTTGCTCTGAGCGATGTAATGATCCATACATATGTACAAATACATTTATTTACCTTCTTTTTCTGTTTTAAAAAAGCACTTTTGCCTAATTAAATACAAACCTTTATGTATGTATGAAAGTCCATATGAGTATGCATATAAATTCCCTGAATATGCCATCGTAATGTTGTCTATTTTTAAACGCTCACTGTAGGCTTTTCAATTATACTCTTGAGCAGATGATAAGAGCGTTCTAAAAATAAATCGTCTTGAGTTAAAATTAGATGTAGAGTAAAAAATTAAAAGGAAAGGAATCGGGTGTAATTCTTTTGTACATATGTATGTAAATAAATTTATATTAGGGGGTTTCTTAAGTTACAAAAATACTTAACATTTTATACTATAAAGAAAAAATTTACTGTATAGTAAATAATACAACAAACACACAAAATTTTGAATAAAACTAAAACATAAATAAAAAAAGAACTGTTTTAGCCAATGTTAAGGCCTTTATATCTTTCAGGACTCTATCAAATATATATTGTAGCACACAAAATTTGACGCTTTCATATGGAATATTGACCCAAAGCATCATACGTATGGGGGCTATGTGATATATACATAATACCAATTTTCATTTCATTCATTTCATTTAGCTCTCTTCTCTTTCTCTTAGCTGCATTTTTTGACGGCTTATATGCTATAGTGGTATAATCTAACCGGTTCCGATAAATGATCATTTAGGTGTACCAGTGCATCTGAGTACGAAGTTAAGTTGAAATGGGATTGAGAGACCAGTTTGCATTAGATTCGGCCTTATGCTGAATATCATCTTCGTCAGTGAAAATGACTATACGTTACACTGATATGCCGTTCAACGTCATCGTTAAAAGTATCGTCAGACGACGCTGTTGCGGTATGCTCGTCAGCATTGTCGTCATCGTTTTTTGTCGTTTCTTATTGTCTCTTATCCACTGTCAATTTACTGATGATACTTAATGAGCCAACAGAAATTAAAAAGGCTAACGAAAAAAGCTCAATTTGAGATTCTTGCGTTATCCAACACAACTTAAAACAAGAGAGGGAAGTTATTACCACAAAATTAATGCAGTAGGACCATCTGTGCGGGTTGGCGATGGATGGTAAAAGATATGAATAAATTCAAATGTTTCTATTTTCAAATTTAAAATGCAGAGAAAAATGATCAACCACAAGAAAGAGTCAAGAGCAATCTGCTGAGCGTTTACAAGCAGATGGTATTGACTCCTCTTGAAGAATCCGTTGCAAAATTGATAGGATTCGAAAAGGTGCTAAATCCAGCTGGTGCTATACGAGTATGTGGTGTTAACGAAGATAAGAATGAACCGCAAAGCGACTTTAGCAGTACGCCAACAAATTTAGAGGGAGTTCCTGAAGGGACAAATTAGGAATCTTCTCGAGGATATGTACCATCAGCAAATAATGTCATTTGCAAATTTGACAACGATCGCCAAAGTCCATAATGAAAATTTCAATTTTCGTTCTCTTCTTCATCGCTTGAGCTTGAAAAGAAAAACTATTATTCCATTTTTTTTATTTATAAACCGGTTTTATTGATTTAAGCAAACTTTACAGCTTGAATGTTTAATTCGAATATCAAAAATATACAAATAAACTGAAAAGCCATAATTTCACAAGTAAATTTCCCAAAACAGAAAATTTCCCGTACACAGGGTTTTCGCGTTTTTTCAATTAAGATCGTTTCGTCTGCATTGCTTGTACAGAAAACTCAAGCACAGAGAAAAGAAATGAAAGTGACGATGAACATTGACGATCGTTAGCGACGACTTAGATGATATTCAGCATAAAGCCGATTGTATTCAGCATTCCTCCATTTTGTATTTCGTACAGAAAAAGAAAACAGCGGCCACAACAGAAAAACCTTATATTTTCTCTTCCTTATTATATTAACAGCGCTGCTGGCTGAAACAGCCCTTCGTGTCCAGTCAAAAATTTCTTCAACTACTAAATAGTTTTTTTTTGGATTTCTCCCTATCTAAGCTTGTTCGATTTCGATCAGCTTCTACCTTCTTATTTTGTAGTTATATTTCAGCGATTACCACTGAGTTGTCATCAAATCTCTCTGGACTTGTTGAAAGTTCTTTTGAGTTCCAAAATGTTTGCTTCCATTCTTCTGTTAGTGGCTGAAATAGCTGATTCGTTAGCATTGCGTACTAACATTCGAAAGGTCACGGTTCTAGTCTCGGTTTGATCAAACAGCCAAAAATTGTAGCAAATTAATTTTTCTAATTGGGATCGACCCGTGGGGACAGTCAGGCGCTATCCGAGTGTATTTCTTTCATGAAATAAAATCTCTTCAAGAAAATTCATCGGCTGCATTTGTTGTAAAACCATCATTGAATTAAGTTTCGATTGCCCAGGAGCTAGATATTGCATGAAAAGAGTTTGAAAATATCTCGAAAAAGGCTGGGTGTACCCAACCATCCACTATAAGCTGCTTCTCTTAAGCCAAAAGTCCGAAGAAAATAAGTAAGCAGAGCTTCATTGGGTGGTTCTTATGCCCTCCGCTATTGTTCGACCCTCCCAGCAAGTGTTTTGCATTTGTTCCTGTCCATGGCGAATTATTTGGGTGATGAAGAATTAGACTCAGAAGCCTGTGAAAATCATTTGTTCCAATTTGTTGTGAATAGAGACAGGGGTTTCTATGAAGGAAGAATAAAGACATTATCAATGGCCACCTCCGACTAATTGATGGACTTTTATGTATACTTTTTTTTGCTTGGCAGAGGGTCGACCGCAATGAGAAATTCAGTTTCGTGTTCAAAACAAGTATTTTGGGAAAGTTATACCTCTAACAAAACTATTTGCAATAATAAACAATGACTATTTTTGAACAAATCAATTTCCAAACATTTATTTTCCATTTTGGACACACTTTCTTTTGATCCTTATTTTCGTATAACAAAAGACTTAAGCTACGAACTTCATTATTCACGAATACTGCTACAAATCCTCGAAAATAATTAGCAGATCATCATTGGCAAGAAATAAAACACAAACAAGAATCTGTTGCCTCCAACCACGCACTACAGGCAGACGTCATTTTTGTTGCAACATACGATATTTAAGCATTTTCCAGGAGAGAACGCTGTGATTGAGCTCCTCACAAAGACGCACAACACAACCTTTAAATAAACAAAATAATGAAAAAAAATAAAAAATTAAATAAAAATAATAATTAAACAAAAAAAAATAATTAACTACATTAAATTAACATATTTGCTTTTGCCTTATTTAATTGATTTCAAAAAAAGTATTTTCACAACACAACTGGTACTGACAAAGTTCATTGGCACCACAAAGTCAATATTTTAACTCGTTTAGCGCTGCAAGAGCACGCAAACAATGTAAAGAAAAAAACCGAAATAATAAATAAAAATAAATGAAAACAAAATAAATTGAACGAAAGTGTGTCGAAGCAAAGAATCAACTGAAAGTCACTTTTCGCTTATTAACAAACTACATACATACATATATACGATTATCCATTTTGTGATTTCGAAAATAAACGCAAATAAAATGCATTTAAAATATTTTTTTTTTATGTTCATGAAATTCATTTTTTACTATAAAGTTTGAGCCTTTCCAATATATGTGTAACACTAAATGATTCAAATGACCTCCGCGTAATTTTCGAATACTTTTTGGCACATATTGGACGGCATCTCAGTCATAACAGAATTAATGTTGATCTCCAAGTGCTCAAAAGTTAAAGGTTTATCCGCATATACCGTAGCTCTACAAAAAAATATCCAACGCTGTCAAATCGTATGATCTCGGTGGCTAATCAAGATCGCCAAGGCGAAAGATTACGCAGCCGGGAAATTTTCGTTCCTGTTGTGTGGCATGTGGCACCACCTAGCTGTAACCACATATTGTACAAGTCCTGTTCTTCAATTGTGGCACAAAAAAATGTCTGTTATCATGCGACCATAATGCTCCGAATGATAGTTACAAACTCGCCGTTGTCGCTTTCAAGGAAGTAAACACACCTCCACCCACCTCCGGACCAAAGAACCCACCAGACAATATTTTTTTCGGCACATAGGCTTCAACTATTTTAAAATTCTCGCGATTCCAAATGGAACAGTTTTGCTTATATACGTATCCCTCGAGTGAAAAATGTGCGTCCACGTTGAAGAAAATTTTATTTCGAGGTATTTATGGTGTTGTGAGTAGCCCGTGAGCAGAACTTTATATGGATGTGGGTGTAAATTCAAGTAAAAAATAAATCAGCTTTTGAGAACATCGAGGAATAGACACACTTACGTCTTCGACTACACTACCACTCATATATATATATAAATACCCGGACATTCCGAATAGCAGTACGCTAGGCTAACCACTCGGCTATGGCGGATGCCACATTCACTTGCCACTTACAGTAGCTGTACAGACCTTTTAATATCTGTAATTGATGTAATTGATCCAGTCTCTTCCAATTTCTTTAAAATTATGTCAATGTCTTGAGTGTTAGGACGATTATATGCCTCCTCTTAAAGCACAAACAGTGGATGCGTTTGAAATCACTATTTTTGTAGTAGCTTTTAGCGATTTTAACACGTTGTACGCCTAACAACCGCTCCATTTTCATAAATATCTGACTTTGAAGTAAAATAAAACATCTTTACAGTTAAGTTTGACTGCTCTGTACTTTTGAGACAACAAAATGGATAATCCTATATATGCTCATATGAAGTCACACAGCTACACTACTAACCCACAAGATATTTTATAACGCGCAACAAGACCATTATTTGAGCGTTGAATGCGTTAAAATGTTGGCAAGATTTTTTTTCTTGTTTTTGTAAATTGGTGTTGTTTTTGTGTTTATTATCCAAAGTTGGAAAATCCACAAATTATGTTGAAAATTTAAAAATTTTCCATTAGAATTCACTCGTTCGTTTTATTTTCGGTTATTTACTGTTATTTGCCGTTTACCCGCTTAAGTTGTTTACTCGCCAAAGTTTAAAACGTAATTGAATGTAGAATTGAATTGCAGCGTTGATCTTAAGTGGGAAAATACGTATGTTTGCATGTACGAGTATGCATTTAGCCAGCAACAGTTGCCAGTTGCAGATACAGGTTGGCAAGCAGGCGTTTTTTGTAGGCTACATGTTACAGCTGATTGCTCTTGCGTTTGTTGTTGTTGTTAAATAGCGAATTTGCCCAATTTATTGGCTGACAGTGGCAGTGGTAACGGTAAAGTTGTATTTGTTTGCACATTCGCTAAGAGGCTTGTAGGCCGTGGCTTTTTTCTAGCTTCTTTATACGTATGTTATGTATATTGTCTGTATTATATGTATGTGTAGGCGAATGTAACCAGCTCTGCACTGTTTATTTATACTCATACATACATCGCGTACATATGCGTGCGTTCTTGTCCTGTACTGGTTGTTGGCAATATTCCACAGGCAGACTTTGATTAATGAAGCGCTTATGGTGGTTTATATGTAGCTTGGCAGCGCACGTTGAGTGTTCGTAAATTCTTTCAATGACTATTTATTATAGAATGTTGCACTTAACTGAGGATTCATGTATTTTTTCATGTTTTAACAATTCTTCACATCATGAATTGAAAAAATAATTTCAGTTGAATTTCCTATTTTACATAAATTTTTTATATTTATCGCTTAATCCCATTCAAAGGGTATGCCAAAAAAAAAAAAAAAAAAAAAATGGGGTAAATGAAATATTTCACTTAAGCCATTCATTATTTTAATGTTTTGGTATGAATTTAATGATATCTTTGTGATAAGAACTTTAAGCGAAGATCGTTGAAAAAGAATTATTTGGTCTCCAATTAAGAAAGCTGTAACCTTTTGGCACTCAACCTAAAGAAGAGTTGGCTATCGAAACACCTGGGAAGTCACAACAAAAATAAGCAAGTTGTGCGCTTTAAGTTAAAAACGCTCAAACTTTATGCAAGTTCGTTGGCACATTGGAATACTAATATATATTTAAATTTAATTTTAAGCAATATTGATCGTACCTTCTTCTTTTTTATTAGCGTAGCCACGTACACGCTTTTGGCATTTCTTGTCATAGCTGTTCCGCGCCACCAAGTGAACTTAGGTCCTTCTCCATCTAAATTTCTCAAAGGAGATAAAGCCTTCCTCGGACGAACACTGCATTGAGAACTTTCATAGCTGAAGTTCACCCATCTAAAAGAACAACTTGGCCTGTCCATCTTAGTCACTTTCTCTGAATTTGCTGAATTATGTCAATATGGATGTGCATCTCATTCTTCTATTGTCTATTTGCAAAACCTTTCTCTTAAATACACCTAGCGTGATGTTTTTAGTTCCAAGATAGACGATAACAAAGTTATGCTTCTCAACAGTGAAATGGGAGCCAAGACTCGAAAGCGCTGACTGAGTTATTTCGTCTCGCTCTCGTTTTCTAGCAGACCTATTTGCCCCGTTTCGCCATACCCCAGAAGTTGTCCGCTTTTATTAACACATATTGTTCCTTCCCTTTTCAGCTCTGCTGCTTGTACTACTGCCTTCGCCACTAAATTAAAGAAGTCACACGATACGATACGATAGAGAGTCAATTTGTGTGAATCCATCTGATGGAGTTTTTGATGTTGTTCAACCAAATTCAGATATGGTTACTTTGACAGTCTGACCATATTCTGCAGAAAGCCCAAATGTCGTTTAAATAATGGAAATATCCGAGTCTGACCGTTATGCGAGCACTGTTTCAATTTTCTAGGAGCTAAACATTGCACGAAAAACCAGTTTGGAGCCACTCAAAAACGACGCATAAGCAAAGAAGCTGGGTACATGAGCGCCACATGGTTTAACGATTAAAAAACCTCATGAATCGAATTTCCATCTGCGAGTCGTTGCTTATTCGTGACATAATCGAGCCATCTGAATATGATGTTGATTGGTGATGGTGAAGTGAATCACTTACAGCAATGTCAAATGAAAACGGTCGTGGTCGTAGAGAAATGAGCCGGCACAAATAGGCTCCAGCCAGAATTCACGGCCAGGAAATTCTCTTTGCCTGTTTGATGGGATCGACAAGGAATCCTCCACTATGAGCTGCTCCTCTACGACTAAACTCTTAATTCGAACTTATTACCTGCAATTGGACAGCAATCGACCAGAAGTGCCCAGTTGTGGTCAAAAGAAAGGGAGAGCTTAGTTGGGAGGTTCTTGTACATTCTGCTTATAATCTCAACATCGCATCAAGTGATACCAGCTGCGAATAAATTGACTGGTGAAGAATTGGCCTCAAGATAAGTCTGCGAAAATCGATTGCGCCAATTCGCACATGGGTTTCTATGGTAGAGGCTTAATGACATTACCCTCAAAATGGCAAAAATAATGAATTAATGACTTTTCACTAGGCTTAATTTAAGGAACATTTTGTTGGTTAACATTTTACATTTTTTGTTGGAAGACAGCTCATCGATATAAGTCTTGGTTTAAATCGAAAAACTGGGCCTGATCCTTCTTAAAAGCCTGATGTGTGATAGGTCTTTAAGAGATTAAACAGATGATAGTCTTACATAAGTTTCTCCAATTGTTGAAGAGTTTTTGAAAAAGTGTGCGCAGTGTTATTTGGACATGATGAAACATCAGACCCTTGTGATTGGCCACATCAGAACATTATTTCTTGATGTTTTCGTTCGATATCTATAACTTCAGTAGAAAGTATATCCTTTCAGTCCATGACGTAAATATCATAACAATGGGGAGGGTTAATTTTCTGTGGTTCCTAATTGTTTTACCTTCCTCATTTTGCTTTAGCTCGTGCATCATTCTCAGCTAGGGATTAGTGCACAAACGATTAGATGTGTATAAAAGAGATTTAAAGTTGTTATCAGAGCGCTTAAAATATCTAGTTACTAAACTGCAAAGTAAATAAATAAATTCTATTTAGCTTAAGCCTTCAACCTGCCGTAAAATCAACATAAATTATTATTTTATTTTTTAACTATAATTTTTCTTAGTTCTTCAGTGTGGTTACAAAATACCAAAAATTTTAATTTATTTAAAAATGACAGCCTACGCTTTTTTCTCAATAACATAAGTTCCTTTTTTAGGTTGCAGTTAGAAGTCAAGCAAATACTGAGAACTCGTTTGTGTTGCGAAGGTGTAGTTGGACGGCCCGTTAATGTCGCGCAGCTGCAGTAGATTTTCTTGATACTGCAATTGGTGTCAAATCGACGCATTTTTCATACAAATAAAAATGAATTGCGAGTATTTTTCTAAAATTCTAGCAATTTATAATCCAGCCATGCTTGAAAAATTAAAAAAAAAAAATTGTTGGATGAAAACATTAATAACCAAATTCGGCTAATTAAATTTGCAGTGTTTTTTTTTTTTGAATTCAGCAGCATGCTGCCTAACGGAAATGGAAACACTCGCCGTTAGCTTGACACTTGACAACAAAAAATGGCGAAAAGTGACAGAAAAGTAGGAATACCAGCATTGAAGGTGCAATGCGTGTTGCAACAATGACAAATCGTGTTGCGCACGAGCGCAGTAAATTTGTAATATGGAAGTATATATATATATATATATATATATATATATATATATATATGTATATATGCGCGCGATTGCTGCGACACAGCAACCTTCAGCGGTCAACTAACGGTTGCGGCAAAGTGGCAAGTTAGTTGTGGTGATCGTGAATTTGAACAACTTGGCACACAGTCCATTTGGCTTGCCATAATTACACATGTTGAATGAATCAAAACAAAACAAATAAGCAGCACATGTACGCACACATCTACTAAAGTCATATATACCTATGTATATGTTGCTAATGCAAGTGTTTCGGAGCTGTCGCGCTCTATTGATTGCCGCTGCCGTCGGACAAATTTTGAAATTTCAGCAGCAATAAACTTCAAGTTGGTAAGCTTTTGGTAAATTTTCATGCTGATTTACACACACACACACGCAAGCACTAACAAACACATCGATATATACTTTGCAAAATGTTGCATCGCGGATTCTTTGTGCTCGTGTGACTCTAAAATCACAATTGTCATAGACATTCGATATTGTGATTATGCAACAAGCAACGCTGTAATCAATAGAGACGTTCACCTTCACGCAGCAGCGTATTTAATTTGTTTCTCTTTTTTTCTTGTTTATTGCTGCTTTTTGGTGTGCTGTTTCAATATGTATAGTTTTGGTTCACTTCGGTTGACATACTTACATATGCACATATGTATGTTGTTACATTTGAATGTGAATATACTTTTTTTTAATGACACACACATATACATATACTAATTGTTTTTATACTTCTGCAGTTTTTTCAATTAATTTCATGACTACCATTGTTACAACTACAATATGTGTATATGTATATACAAAGGAATATGCATAACTTTTCATTTGAACAATTATGCAAAAAGCAGTTAAACTAATTTCAGATCTTATACATCATTAACGATTTACGTACGTCATAAATATTGCTAAATGGCTTAGTTAACCCTCAACGGTCCGTTGATAATAATAAATAGGACTCTACTGAGCTGAGCTTGTAAAGTTGAATTATTTTGGCTGTGGAATCGAAAAATTCAGAGATGAATCTGATATGGATTTGGATCCAGAAAGTGAATCGAGCACTAATCCGTGGAATAGTGACGATGATTTTACATTATCGATCGAGGAAAATACTGAATGTGAGTGGAGTGTGCGTACAGATGAAGAAGACATTGAGCCACTTGTACAAAATATTGCCGAAGAAAATGCAGCAAATCCAGAAAGGAAAAATTGGTCTAAAAGTAAAAAAAAAAACAATATTCATTTCAACCATTTGAATTCAGTCGTAGAAATTCATTTCGACGCGCAGATAATATTGTTTCAGGTAAAAACATACCCTTTTTTCGTTTTCATGTTCATTTTTATGCGTCATGTTCAAATCCTGATTGTTTGCTTCATTTTAGTTATATATTCAGGTCCAAAAGCAAAGAGCTACAATGTTCTTGAAAATGTTCAAGCTTATTCATGGTTGTATACGATTTGATGATCGAGAAGAACGTATGCCGCGTGATAAATTGGCACAGATTCGAAATGTGTACGATACATGGAACAATAACTTGAAAGCAGTATTCACACCAGGTAAAAACGTTACCGTAGATGAGCAGTTTCTTCCGTTTCGTGGGCGATGTCCGCTTCGTCAGTATATTCCTTCAAAACCGGCAAAATATGGCATAAAGATTTGGTTTTTATGCGACTCATCAAACTGGTAGGCATACAACACACAAATTTATGTTGGTCGTGATCGAAATACTACTCCTGAACGCAATCTCGGACGGCGTGTTGTCATGGTGTTTGGTGAACGAACTTTCTGATAGGAATGTTATATGCGACAATTTTTTCACTTCATATGAATTGGCGGAGGAGCTCAATAAAAATCAGATTAGTATTTTGGGAACGATTCGAAAAAATAGAACTGAAGCTCCTTCTGTCTTAGTTGATATGTGTCGAAAGCCAATCTATTCAACTGAAATTGTGTATGAACACAAATTGCAAGTTCTGCGGTTCTGTGGTCACATTGCTGAGTACATACTAAAATGGGGTAAGCAGAAATGAACAGGATGAAAAGAAGAAACCGAACCATATCGAAGATTACAAAAAAAACCAAGAGTGGCGTGGATACAATGGATCAATTGGTGGCTACGTACACATGCAAACGAAAAATCCATCGGTTCATTATGATGGAAAACAATCTAAAAAAGTTAAAAAGTCACAAAACATACATTATTTTTTTTTTATAGGATCTTTTACAGGGACTGATTCGTTGTAGTTTTCAAGGGACCGATGAGGGTTAAACAAATTGGTTGAATTGTCCTAAAAGGGTTTTCTGATAAAAGGTGTTATTTCGAAAAACCTACCATTCCGGTAGACGTGCATCTTGAAGCTGTAATTTTTTGGCATTTAACAAGTAAGAACTACACCAACAATAGAAATGGAACGATACGCGCTTCAACAACGGTCTGGCGCGGTCTTTGAACCTTGATTTTTTGAGTTGGCGCAATAGTTTCGATGAATGGATTGCTCTAACGAGAGATGATTGATCTGGACAACGTCTACTTACAACAAGACGGTACTACATGCCTTACAAGCAACGAAACCATCAATTTTTTTACGGAAAACTTTACGAACCGTGTTAACTCTGAAAGAGGTGATCGAAAACTTGTGATTTAACACCTCTCGACTTCTTCTTTTGGGGTCATGTGAAAGTGAAAGACTACGCCAATAGGCCAACGTCGATTCAAGACCTCAAATATGGAATTCATGAAGCTATTGAGAGCCTACAGCTGAGACTTTGCGATTTGGTGATCTAAAATTTCATAAAAAGGTTACAGTCCTCCAAGCGTAGCTGTGTCAGCTCAAAAAACAACAGTTTTCATTGAATATCAAATAATACCTCTTACAGTAAAACTCTGGTTATATTAGGTCTAGTAGTGTAGTTAGAAACATGATATTTTGTACTAATAACGGGAGAAGTGTTAACCCTTTAACTCAGTGAAGATTGGGCTTATATCAAAGATGGACAATGTGAATTAAAGACTATTCTGGTATGGTCTGGTACTTTAATATTAAATCGTGGGTTTGGTCGATTTTATTCCAGTAATTTTGATGTTAAAGATGCTCCATAGTGTGGAGGGCCAATTATCGAAAATGTCGACAAAATAATGAGAATTCTCAAACTTAGCCATCGTTTCGATTATCCAGAAGCTAAATATTGCACAAAAGACAGCTTAGAACTACATTAAAAGGGTGAATTTACAAAGAATCTCGAAATATGGTTAAAACATGAGTTTTTGAGAAAAATACCTGTAGGACCGAATTTATATTGAAACGTAATCGAACCGATACTGAATCGTTTCAAAATCCCCCATTTCTAAGAGGATGTTGACAGGGGATAAAAATGGATCACTTACGGCAACAATAAATGAAAACGATCGATGTCGAAGGGAAGTGCATAGCCAGCATATCCGATCTCCAAGCAAGCCAGGATAGTTGGCTAGGAAAGTTTTGCTGTATGTTTTGTGAAATAGGCACTATGAGCCAAACTCGAACAAGCACTGTCACCAATTGGACAGTCTGAAGGTAGCAACCGCTCAGAAGTGACTGGCTTAAGCCAATAGGAGTGGAGTTGTGTTTCATTAGGACACCTCCAGATCACACGCATCGTTAGTCTCTCGCCAAAAGCTTCGAGAGTACGGTTGGCATATTTTTATAGATCCACCTTGTAGTCTGAACCTCGTACAAAGTGATTACCATATGTTTCCGCATAAGCGAATTATTAGGCTGTGGAAATCGATTGTCCCAACTTGTTGCCAATGTGGACAAATAAATAAATTAACATGAATCGGATAATTCTAACAATAGTAAATACAGCTTTCAGTTTAATGCAAAACTACTGGACGTATAAATATCCACCGCCGAAAAGTATGTTTCGCCTCTTATTTATTCACTCAGTTCATGCACAAGAGAGATAACTGAAAAAAGTGCGCCTAAAAGCAGCTTAAGAAAACAAAGTAGTACTTTGCTTTATGCCTATGTGCTGCTATTTATGTATATGTATGTGTGCATGCAGTGCAATAGTGAAGATAAGAATAAATATTTTGTAAAAAAATAAGTATGTAATAAAATTGAGTATTTTATTTAATTTAATTTGTTGAGTTTATTCCAACAATTAAAACTTTATAAATTCAGTATATTTACTATGAATAAACTTGCGCCTAACCAAAAGTATGTACGTGTATGTGCTTAACCTACACATATGCTTGTATAAACAAATACGATTTCATCAATAAAAGTATAGATATACCAATACAAATATTGTTTGTTTATTATTTTGTTTCATTTACCAACGCGTTCCATGACACGCCGGCCGGCAGAAGTTATGCCGGAATTTAATTATGAATGAACAAATGTGGCGATGGAGAGAAAAATAAAAATGATTGCCGTAATATGTGTGAAAAATTGTTTGGATTAAGTTTACGCCATCGACGAAACGAATGAGAGAGAAAAACAAAGCAAGAGAAGGAATATGTGTATAAAAATGTTTGCATATGTATATACGTGTGTTACACATACATATGTATGTAAGTAATTAAGTTCATGTGTATATAAATAGAGATATACCAATAAAAGGCGCTAATGAACGTCTGACAGCAAACGCAATCACAATTACAGCTAAGATGCTGAATAATTAGAGACAATAAAAATTAAGAGAAATTGCTTGTTTTATTTCTTTTTTTAAAGTTTAAAAGTATTAAATAAAAAATGAATTTAAAAATTTGTAGATCAATTGGTGGACGCAAAACTAAAAATTGGAGGTGGAGCTCGGCGGAAAATCCATTCAGCGCTTGCAAACGCCAATTATATAATTCACTTGATATAGAACAAGTTAGAAAAAGTTTATAAGAGATGGGTTTGAGCCATAATTTGACTAAATGAATAAAGTTTTTTTCATTTGTGATAATAGCAAAATAATTAATGCTAAAACGGCTGCGATTCCAGCACAATATTTTTTATAATGAAAAGGAAATATTTTATTCGAGCTACCTGCCTTGAAGATATATGTACTCTTGAAAAAAAATTTTGGAATTTTGAAAGGAAAATATTCATAACCCCACCAATGTGCTGTCATTTCTCATGACCTCATAGAAAAAAAGTGTTTTGGAAGCTGTGAAACCCTTAAAATTTAAAAAAATTTTGAAATGTAAAAATTAATTTTTTGAAAAACATTTTAACAGTGTTGGTTCATATATGGTACTTATACGGCTTAATACACATTTTTTTCTTATTAATTTTAAATATAACATACATATTTTAGAATATATTTTACTCAAAGCTATTAAAGTTGAGTTTTTAATGCTTTTTAATCTTAAAAAATGAGTATTTGAAGTTTGCATTGGAAATTGGATTAAATTTAGACAGAATATCAGATCAGACATTTTGTCTAAATTTATTTAAATTTTTCAAATCCAAATTTTTTTAAGTTAAGAATTAATGAAAATTCTGCCAAAATCTACATCTTGCTTCTTATACACAACTAATCATTTAATTTTTTTCAATAAAAGTTTTGAGCTATATTTTTTCCATTTTTTTATGAATAAAATTTTATTGATTTTCAATCAAGGAATGGCTGATACTTTCTCACTAAATTAAAAAAAAATGAAATAATTGCGTAACTCAAAATAAATATTTATATGTTAAAATGTATGCATTAATATTTTTTCACATAATTTTTGAAATCATGCCGCTTACCAAAGCGATTGTTTACTAATATTTCATTATCAAGAGAATAACTCTATATATACGTATGGATGTGTGTATATGAAAGTGTATAAATGCAGCTCTGATAAACGATTTTCTCGACACACATACTTATTTGTTGTTTCTATTACAAAAACATTAAAATTATCAAAAACATGCTTTAATGCATGCTAATACATGCACGCATGTATGTGTGAACTTACATCATATGTATACACACATCTACACTCAAACCTACATCAATGAAATGCACACGAGAATCAACGAATTCTTATCAATAACACATTTTTTATGCTCCAATATCAATTTGACTCTTGACCTCACTCTCATCTTTCCTGCCTACGCACTGCCAAGCGAATGTTGCATGTTGCAGCATTGCATGCGTGAGTGCGTGCTAGCTGTCCGTTGTCAGCCAGTCAGTCAGTCAGTCAGTCATGAACAGCTGAGATTGCCGATAAGCGTATGCCACAAAAGTATACACACACATATTTACTTGCAAGCGTACGAATTATCACACGTCTAAGTATGTATTGGTGTACACATACACGCAGCGATCAACGCGATCGTACCAACGCCGATTGTTGACTTTGTACGCCGAAGTCAGAAGGAAATAAATTTTCAAATTCGAATTCAGTTGCTCGCGAAAGGGCCATTCAGACGGTTGGATAAATGGATGGGCTCCAATAAGAAGTGAAAAGTGAAAAAAGTGAAAAGTGAAAAATAGGTAAAAAATGTGTGGAAAGTGAAACTTTTCTGTGCTCAAAAAAGGAAATCAAATTAAGTAGTGCATGAATAAGAGGATTTCCGCTTAATAAAAAAAAAAAAAAAAAAAAAAAAACGAATCGAAAAATTGTGTGTATGCGTGCGGTGGCGTACTCGCCTTCACGAAAGGATTAATTGAGCAAAAATAAAAAAAAAAAAATTACATACGAATATTCCTATATACATATTGAACTACAATATGGCACAGCCACAATGGTGGCGTAGCGGCGGCAGCGTGGGTGTGGCACTTTCCTGTGCTCTAATACTTTTCGCTTGCTGCGGCAGTCTCGTTTTGGCTGAACTCACACCACCGTACTTCAATTTGGCTACAGGACGTAAAGTTTATGCATCGGCCACATGTGGTGTGGGCACTGATGGACCGGAATTGTATTGTAAATTAGTGGGCGCTAATACGGAGAATGATCACATCTATTATTCGGTCATTCAAGGACAGGTAAGGAGGAGACTAAAGAGTGTGAGAGAGGGAGAGGGAGAGAGAGCAATAGAGATGTTGTGATTTTTATTTAAATAGCTTCGTTGTGATTTAGTTGTTCCTTTGAGTGTGTGTTTTTTAAACACCGGAAGTGCTGATTGTAACGAAGGAAAAAACGTTCAAATCCTCTTTGTCTAAAAGGCAGAAGAATTTACCATTTCAGTGCAAATAATGTTTCGAAATTATAATTATTATTTATTTTTGAATTTTACATATAAAATAAGGTTAAAAAATAAATATGTTAAAATTTATTAAAACAAACACTTCGAAATTTTGTTGCTAGAATTTGGCATATTTTTTGTAAAATTATAAATATTTTGAAAGAGTTTGAAATAAATATTTTTAATATTAATTGTGTACTTTTTAATATCTAAAAAGAAAAAATAAATTTTTAATTAAAATATTTTTTTTTTTCTAACATCTCATAATTTGAGTACACACATTTTGTAAGTTTACAGTCTGTACTTTATCTTGATGAGCTGTTGTGTGCTTTTTCTTTATTTTTTTTAAAGTTTTTTGTTTTTTTAATTTTTTTGGCTAATGCCTGGGCAAATTTAATTTTGCGTTGTTTTGTTTATCTAAGATATTTACCCGTGGAGTAAGCAATATGTGCGCTCAAGCATATAAAAAATAAAGAAAAAATTAAAAAAAATCTAACAAACATATTGGCAACATCTGTTCGACTTTAATGTTATTTTCAGGTTATTTTTGGTGTTTCAAAAATTTGTGTATCTTATGCATATTTGCCGAGAAAAACAATTGGAATTAGGTTATTCAATTTCTTAAGACGAATTTTATAAGAAATGGTTCCATAATGAGAGGTTTAAGAAAAAAGGAAATAAAATCAACTAAATAGATTTAAAAGGAAAAATAATTAGATGTTAAAAAAAATAAAATAAAACCAATTCATACATGGGAACAGATTTAAATATTATTTTCAATAATTTTAGAAAACAAAATTATAAGCTTAGGTTATTTAAGGACTTTTTAATCGGTTTTGGAAAAAATAAAATCTCTCCATTTGCTTTTAAAGCAGATAAGAACTCAGTAAATAGTGCTTTAGAAAACCATAACTATTTTTGAAATTTATTAGCATTTTCGAACATTATTTAATAACTATCTAAAACTCAAAAATATAAATTGTTAAAGTTTCTTTTTTTATTATAAAATTTTTAGGTTTGCGACTATTGTGATCCAAGTGTACCCGAAAAGAATCACGCTGCCGAATATGCCATTGATGGTACGGAGGCTTGGTGGCAGAGTCCGCCACTTTCACGTGGCATGAAATACAATGAAGTCAATCTGACCATCGATTTCGGACAGGTAAGTCAGTCAAATGGATGGATGAAAACAAACAATACAGTAAAAGAAATATAAAATCTGTTCACCATTGCGACAGCGAAGAACAGAAAAAATAATCAAAATAAAAATTAAAATATTTTCTTCTTTCAACAAGAAACGAAACAAATATGTATGTACATATGTATGTGTGTTTGCTTTAGTGGATACTCATGCTGCTCATATGAAATGCACAATCACGCACGCGAGCAGTCAACAAAAAAGAAGAGGAAAAATCGAAAAATAAAACCAAAAATAAAAACAAACCATCGAAGGTATAGACAGCCAGCCGTTTGGGCGCGTTGCAAGGTATCAGCCAGGCAAAACATAAAAAACCGCAGTAAGCCGCTTAAGAATGTGTAAAATGTGGCGGCTAAACGCTGAGGCACTTGATGGCCGATTCTGTAGACATTAAACGTGTGCACGTCATTCTATGTTGTATACACAGCCAATGGGTATATATATATATATATAGACAAGCGATGCGCAGCACAACCCGTATGGTCGGGTCATAAAAATTAGTACAATTTCTGGTTCCTCTTTTTTGACCTTTTTTTTTAATATTTTTTTTATTTTAATTTTCATGGGTAGCGAACTTCGTAAGGATGTCAAAAAAAAAAAAAAAAATACAGAAGTAAACAGAAAAACTGAAAGCCAGACATATTAAACGCATTTTAAGCATAAATTTGTAAGCATAAAATTTGTTTGTGTATGTAGCAAAGGTAAGAAAGTGTCTTACTCGGCCCCAAACGCTTGCCACAAACGCATCAAATTTCTGTCAACTTGTTCGCCACCGCTCGTGTTCACTGGACAGTTTTGGCCTGTTCTGTTCACTGATTGAAGCCCAGACTGTCACAAGATACTGAAGAAGTAACTTGATTTGTTGTTGCAGCTTTAAAATACAAAATATGCACATATATATATACATACAAGTGCAAGATCGTATATCATTGTGCATGTAAAAATGTGCATAGGTGCAAATACATACATATATTTTCCTGGTAAAAGTCAGCGAAAACTTGCTAAGAAAGCAAAATTTTTTGAAAGCAAAAATTGCCGAAGACAATGAATTTGCTTTTAAAAATTATTTCAAGTTTGGTTGCCACAAAATATGATTTTTCTTGTATTTTTAATGTATTTTTTGGTAGATTTAATCTTTTGCGTTAAATATATGTCAGAGGTTATCAGTTAAGACGTGCTCCAAAAAAAAAATATATATACATATTTCTCCAACTTTTTCGTTTCTTATATAAAAGTTTTAAATAACAAATCTTTTTTCTTAGTTTCCAGTAGTAAAAAAAAAAATATTAAAAAGTTCTATGAAATAAGTTCATTGTGCTAACATCTTGTGTTAGCTTGTGATAAGCCTTAGACTTACAGATACACACACTTGCGCACACTAACGCACTTCCGTAATGTTTGCTTTAGCTTCATTGTTCGCTACAAACTGAAGGCAGCGACCCAGCAGGAAGTCACGAATGTGAGCTTAGCTAGAGCTACATGTAAATACAAACGTATATGTATGTATGTAAAATATGACATTTTTTATAAATTATATATCTTGAATCTACGGTCAAGTTGATTATAAAAATTTAAAATCTTGCCGACTATATTTCTAACACGAAATAAAAAGCTCTTCATACAAATTATCGGACGCGACTCAGAAATAACTGCAGGAGTACATAAAATCGATTGAGGCATCATACACATCCATTATATACAAATATATGGTTATCCACTTCCTGAAATCATAAGTACAGTGCTGTATTTTGACATCTGTCAAACTTAACTGTCAAATCAAACATGTTTTGTTTTAGTTAAAAGTTAGGCACTTAAGAAAATGCATCGCTTAACAACCGCACAACTCATAAAATTGTGAGTAAAACGAGGCCACGTTTCGTCCTTCAAGAGGAGATGGAGATATGATGCACATAATCGTCTATTTATTCAAGCAGTTGATAAACTTAAGCTTCGTTTCACCACTAATATCGCTACCGTAAGTGAAAGTGTAGCCGAAGACCCAAATGTGGCTATCTCCCGACATTTCTGATGGCGCACAAGGGCGTATTTAGTGTTTGGATTTACTCTTATAGCCATATAAAGTTCAGCTCATACAAAAACTAAGGCCAGGTGACCATTCACAATGCCGTACACACATCGATTGGGTTCTTGAACCATAAGCATTGAATCAGTGAATTTTCAGATAATTGAAGAGAGGCCATTGAATAAAAAAACTTTAAGAAAAGAGTGAGGAAATATGTGGTTTCAACAAGATGATGCCACACTACATGAGCGAATATGGCTTTAGTGTAAGAGAAATTTTCCAACCTTCTCCTATTCCCATTCCTCAGCACTTGAAAATCAAAACTCATAAAGTCTTGACTGAGATACCGTCCAATATGAGCCACAAAGTGGTCGAAAATTAGCTCAAATGGATCGAAGCTTTCGAGGTGATCCTTTAAATGATGTAGTGTTTCACATATAATGGTCGAAAAAAATTTTCGCTAAACTTACTAAACATGTGTATCTGTTTTTAATTAATATTTAGAAATTGAATTCATTGGTTTTAACATGTTAATCAGAACCTTGAATAAGTCAAAACAGATTTTTGATGCTGGTACGTTTGACTTAATCTATTAAAAACTGGGAAATTTAACATTTTCAATGAAATATCATAAAAAAATATATAAAAAGTAAGCATCATTTATGATCGCCCTTTTACACTCAAATATCTTAAAAAAAAAAATAATATAAAAAGTGAGCATCACTTATAACCGCTCTGAAGTAATGTTGCCCATTTCCTATTGGGCAGTTGTCCCTGTCAACTGGCGTGTACGCATACGCTTTAATAAGAATTTACTCTTCTGCGTCGGGTTAAAGCATTTGTATGCCGCATTTTAATCTGTCCTATTTACTGCTTATATTCATATACCAATACACATATATACAAACATTCATAAATAAATTGTGTTGTTTAAATGAAGTCTTATAAGTTTTCTTGAGTTGAAAGTGGTTTTCAGTCCAAGGAAGTGCCCGTTGATAAGCAATAAAATGTTTCAATTTTTATGCTGACATAAAGACATACAATCATACATACGCTTGGTTGTCAATATAACCATTTAAAGAGCTTATCGCTTTTTATATATATGAAGAGGTCAATAGTTTGAAGTCTATACGTAACTTGGAAGTTGTGCTTAGATTTGCCTTAGTAAATTTTCAGTAATATTTTATTTTCCTTTGAGAGTTTTTAGACCCTAAAATTTGAAAAATAAACGTAAAAAATTATGAAAACGAAAGTGGTCGAGGTCACTCAAGTAGAGGTTTTCGGCGCCGAGCTTCTCAATCTACTCGATTTGACCTATCTATTCATGCATATCCCACTAAAACTGATAGAAATAGACCTAACAAGATTTTGAAAGAATTTTTAATATTTGACTTATATTCGTTTATAAATATTTATACAATTTTTTTTTTACGTATATTTTACTTAGCTAGAAAGCTGACACATAGTACTATTTACATTTGGACCAAACCATATTCGACAAAGAGACATTAAAACTAAATATTGCATTTTAATGCTGCTTTTAATTCAATTTAATTCGAAATTAATTCATTCTTCTTCTTCTTTACTGGCGTAGATATTTATGGAAGCCTTTATCAGTTCCCAGCGGAAATTGTAGTTAGAGTGTAAATATATAAGGCATTTGCATTAATCATAATGATATAAATAATGAGGGTTATCCATTTTGCGATTTCGAAAAAATTTTTAAATACCAAACATTTCAAATAATTTTTTTCATTAAATTCCTCTTTCTTGTCTTTCGCGTAGTCTCAAAGAAAAATTCCAAAAAATTTACGATCTCGCTGATCAATCGACATCATCAAGACAAGTCTCACCGTTGTTGCTTTGAAAGACACCTCATATCAGAAAGTATATTTTTTTTTGGTTGTAGTCCCATCTCTTCATTTATTTGAGGGTGCTCAGAGCTCCACGTTCTGAAGAATATTTTTTAAAATAACCGCCGCTTGTTATTCAAGCATTTAGTTGACAAATGAAGTGATCAGTTGGCTTTAGTTGTTATATGAGCTGGACTTTGTATAGTTATCTGTGTAAGTTCAAGTGCAAAATACGCCCGTAAGAAAGTACAAGCTCTTGAGAATGTCGAGAAATAGACTCATTTGGGTCATCGGTTACACTTTCACTTACAGTAATCATATTTGAGGTGCAACTAAGAAACCGATGATCCACGGGACTTATGACATCTGTAACAGATCCAGACTCTGCAGGTTTCTTTAAAGTTTTTACAAATGTTTGAGTGGTTGGACGATTACGTGCACCATAATCCCCTCATAAGGCATGAAAAGTGTAGATTTTAACGATTTCAACGTGTTGCAGACTATTGGACAGATTTTTTTTTACTAAAAAGACCATGTTTGGTTTGACAGTTGAGTTTGACAGTTGGGTTTGATAGTTGAGTTTGACAGTTAGGTTTGACAGTTGGGTTTGACAGTTGGGTTTGATAGTTGAGTTTGACAGTTGGGCTTGACAGTTGGGTTTGATAGTTGAGATTGACGGTTGGGCTTGATAGTTGAGTTTGATAGTTGGGTTTGACAGTTGGGTTTGATAGTTGAGTGTAACAGATGTCCAAATACAGCTCTGCATTTTTGAAATCACAAATGCACATTTATTCCGAAGCTATTTTGCAAATAACTTCACTGTAAATATTTCAGAAGTTTTATCTATTATGAAAATAACGCTTAGTAACCGCTGAAGCGTTTTTCAATCGAGCTTCTCCTACGATTTATGTCTTTGCGTTTGGTTGTTTTCCTTACGAAGGGTGGGACCTACACTTTATTCTAAGCCGCCTCCGAACGAACACTAAGAGGCCTAGACGACATCTCTTTTCAATTAAAAGTTTTTCAAACTTTTTACTAAGTTGTGGATAATTCGGTCGCAGTGAATTTATATCTGTCAGAAAATATAA